ATGGTTTCAGGAAAGCAGAGAGGTTAACAAGAAATTACGCGTCATTTTTACACTTGTTTCTATGGTGAGAATATTTCTTTATATCTCAAAATGTTGTTGAGACATGAGGTGAAAAAGCCGTATTTTATTATTGATAAGAATATTTATGTTGTTAAAACATTTCCAAAAATAAACATAGAGTTTAATTAGTTTATATGACCCGGAAGCTTTTGTCAATTAAGAATAACTTTTGGCTGTTGGAACTGCTTACTTCCCTCCCATCAAAATTATCGCCACCTACTGTGACGGCCATTCGTTGTCACTGTTCCCACAGGGAGGGAGCCCTACAGACACTGCTTATCACGAGTTTCTTACTCAGTGAACAGTACGGATTGAATAACGTAACTAATATTTAGAAAAATATGGATAAATTCGTTGTTTTTGTGTTTTATACAGTAGTCATAGCTACATTTTCCAGCCAGGTAAGAGACTGATTTGGATTCTTCGATAAATAGTATAGGCTCATGATGCCCGCGTCGATGTGTGTGTTTAGTTTATATTTTATGTGACTGTTCCGGGTTGGATGATCTGCTCTGAAGGTTCATGGCTCAACCCTGGTACTCAACCATATTGATATATGCTGCACATAACCACAATGACAATGCGTGTATTTAACCTTTATCGTTGATAAATATATTAGTTTGTCGATCGACCGTGAGGTACAGTCGATCGACCAGACAGTAACCACTTCGATGGCCGCCATTGGTGCAACGAACTCTCGTCTACAAATATATCTTTCTTTTTTCTGCACACCGTGTATTTACCGAACGACGTTACCCTACTTATTTTATTTTTTGTTGACATTTATCGTTTTTCTCATACACGAAAAGTGGTAATTTTGGTGATTTGCTCCGCTAGGATTAAAATCATTTTTGTATGTATGTGTGTTTGATTTCCAGTGTTTTCACGTATTAATTTTTCTGTGATTTCTTTGGCTTGGACGATTTCGCACAAACTTGGCAGGCTCTGAACAAAAAATTCTGACCCACTGTTGCCATAACAACAGCCAAAAAACTGATTTTTGGATAGCTTCGTGATCTGTGATCTTTTTTGGCTTGGCTGATTTTGTTCATACTTGACAGGCAGGTTGTACCTTTACTAATTGGAAAATAAATCTTGGCCCATCACTGCCATGGCAACAGCCAAAAAAGTGATTTTTGAATACTTTTGCCTTTCTTTCATATTAGCAGAGTTCAAAACATCATGCTTATTATTTTGGCTAAGTTGCACACCAACAAGATATCACCGGCGCCGACATTGTTACGTAGTATTAGCGAAGTCCCAACGCAACTTTGAATTTTGGTTTTAAACAAACGCTAGCTTCACGTTCATGTCCACCTACAACCATGGCAACAGCTGAAAATGTGTTGTTTGTTTTTTGAGCGGAGCAGATCACCAACCAGCCTGCTGGCTTATCGTGTTATTAAGCATACTGTGACTAAATAATTCGACTATCACGTTGATGTAGATAATATGCCAATGTACTAGGTTCAAATAACAACCCCTCCTCCTCTTCCAGTTTATTGTTCCGGAAACTAGCATCTCGGTGTGGGACACTAGCCATGGTTTTACAGCATTTTGGGTTCGAAAAGGTATTTATGCTTCGTTGTCAATTATATACACATCACGATGATGTGTATATACATGTACCAGTAATTGACAGACAAAGCAAAATACCTTTCCGAACCCAAAATGCCGCAAAACCACGGCTACAGGGACACTAGCTCTTAGTTCCTAGTTCCCCCCTATATTGTAGTGTTCATTTTTGTATTTAAAATAAAATAGTAATTTATGTTCCCCCACTTGTAATTATGTGTAATTCCTTTGTTAGTTGTTTTCTGTTGTTACCATTATAGGTTTCTTTTCTCATCTTTACCCAGTTTACACTCATCAAGAATATTTTTTACATATTTAATCCTGGACCAGTATTTTTTTCTTATTCTTCTAATGCATCTTGAAGGATATGACTTTCTTGTACTAGTAGAGATTTCAAACTGTGCCAGTATTTAGTTGTGGCAATATCTGCTTTAGTTTTGATAGGAAACCTGCCAAGTTCACCCCTTATACCTATTGTACGTAGCATTTTTATTAACGCCAAGAATAACAAGTCATTGA